TGAAGTCTTGTCTCTGTTTTTCCCAATTAAATCCCTCACGTAGCGTGTCTGGTCATAACAAATCATGGCATCATAGTTCCCACTCATTGGATCATCTTTGAGTTCCGCTCTTGACATTCTTAGACCCCAGGATATACTCCTGAAGTGGTCCATGGTCCCCATAAACTGCTTCTTCAACGTATCCGTATCCTCACGTAATGTCGCTTCCGCAGCGAAACCTGCTGTCTTCTCTGCGTAGGATATTCCAAGGCCGATAGCGATGTCCACAAGTGGGGACTGTAGAGTTGAGAATACAATTTTGATTGTTACGATTGAGAATATATCATGAGATAAATTGCCATTGCGTAAAAAAATTATGCTACAAAATTTTTGCTGCATCTATGTGCATAAACTCCTAACCCATAAACCACCAAAAAAAAAAAAAATCATAAAACCCAAACCCAAACCAAAAAAATCATAGTACCAAGCTTTTGGCAGCAACTGCTGGAGGATACGCGTTTAACGTCTGAAGGCAGAAGGTTTTCTCGTCTTTGACATATTCCATACGACATATGGTGTCGATGTATTTGGTGGAGGCCAACGCCGTAGCAGAAAATTGTAACAAAACTACCATCGAGACAATAAAGAAACAATCGGAGGAAGAAGTCATTGTTTGGTCGGAGAAGTTTTTTATCCCTTAAGATTGTAGTTTTACCTAAAGGATATATATACCTTTATATACGCACCCATAGTTTGACAAAAAAGGAAAGAAGATATGCACCCATTTAATTACGTATCTGTGAATCTAGAGGATTTAAATGAAAAGATTTTGGTTTCGATTTCGCAATAATTATATTACCATTTTTTTTTTTGAAACTTAATATTACCATTTTCAGTGATAAAAAATCTGAACGATATTCAGCTTTTCATTTTTATTACATATACAGTATGTTGAAATTTTAGTCAAGATATCTCTATTAGTGTTTTTGAACAAACTCAGAGAGAGAACGAGAAAGATGAAACTGGAGAACGTTTTTTTTTTTTTATTATTGCATTAATGACAATCTGTTTCCGTATATAGACAATTGTACCGGGTTTACAAGATAACCAGATACATTAATTAAACCAATA